ATGCCTTGGCCGAGCCCGTTGGCTTGACGTCCTCCATCTTTCTGGCGCGCTCGTATCTTGTAGCGTGGGCGGTGGTATTTGTTCAGCGCACGTCAATTCCGCCCTGCGCGCATTGTGGTTGCCGTTGTTTGTTTCCAGACTCGGTGTTGGAAAGCATCGACGCGCCAAGAAATCTAAAAGTTCAGGTCGCGCGCGACGGAAACAACGCCGCAACGGCAAGTCCCGTCAACCCTCACCAACCGCCAACCTCAGCTCGCGAATCAGCTCCCACGCATATCAGCAACAGCCACAACCACTACTACTACCACCACCACGACGCAATGGCTACCGCTTCCGACGCCGCAGTCAGGCACCAGGCTGTCGTGCCGGATAAGATTCCCTCGGGAGAGTATCCTGTCCGTTACTTGCTCCTTCGTGCTTGCGCAATGCATGGCTAACGTCACACAGCTCATTGACAATGACCCGTACGCGCTCACCAACAATCGATGATACGCTTTCAAAACGCTAATGTCGAGCAAAGACACTTCACCCGCGTCATGCGGTACACCCGCCCTTCCGACTGGCTCCAGGGCGCTGCGCTGGGAGCCATGAGCCCCGGCTTGATGCTATACTGGGAGCGAGTCTCGCCTTCGTTCGTCGGCAAGGGTGGATTTGCGCCCATCTTGCGGTTGACGGGTGCTGTTGGCGTGACTGGATGTTTCCTGTTCGCATACACCAGGTCATCGAGTACGTTCCCCTCATGCCTTGTTCCCCCCACCCGCCCACGTCAAAGCAGGTGTGTGAAGGCAGACAATTCCTGACGCAATTACAGTGCGTTTCTATGGCGCCCGCGAGAACCGCCGCGAAGTCGAAATGGACATGCGGGAGATGGTCGACAAGGTCAAGAGGGGTGAGTCGCTGTACGGCACCACCGAGATGTCAGAGTACATGCAGGGCGTTGCGCACAGGAACTCGCGGTATTCGGCGGTATTTGCGCATGTTCTGCCCTGGCCAAACTTTGTGAACCACCCGTACCATGGTGTGGATACTGCAAAGTACTACAGACAGGCTGAGTTGGAGTTGGAGCAGGAGAAGCGGACACGGTAAATTGGAACTGAGGGTTGAAAGAAAGACACGTGCTACTTTGCGATGAGAATTCTTCTTGCGTTTGCTATGGTGTGTGCATGTATATAAGCCTCTACAAAGGAACTGAGAAGATGCAGATACACCATACATTCCACATTTGTCCCATTCCTCGTTCCATCACTGCACTAAACTCTCCAACACCTTCTCCCGCCCATACTCCTCCATCTTAAACTTGCTAATCCAATCATCCCTATTCACATAACCCCCACAAATCCTCCTCTTCCCCGTAAACGCACTCCTCCCATGCAACACCCTCCAATTATCAAAAATCAGCACGCGTCCCGGCTTCAACTGCTCCCAATACTCATTCTCCTTCTTCTTAAGCAGCGCATCGAATTTCCGCGCAGCATCATACCACGCCCCGACCCGCTCAATATCGAGCTCGATACTTGCGCGATCAGCGCTGTTCCAGCGGACGCGCAGGAGATCGCCGGTCTCGGTGTCGTGTTCGAAGACGGGGAAGCCGCGGTATGGCTGTATGCTTATTCCCTCGTTGCCCGAGGCGTGCGCGTGGACATTAACTGTTGCCAGGATCCTGTAGGCATGGGGATCTTGTTCGTTGAGCTCTCGTGCGACTTTGAAGCCGTCGACGAGGAGGGAGGCGCCGCCTGAGCCGTCGGTGTGGGAGAGGAGGTGGAACGCTTGGAGGCCTGCCGGGTCGGAGAAGTAGGTTGTGTCTGTATGGGCTTCGAGGGCGATGTTGGTGTAGGCTGTGTCTTTTGAGGCGAGGTCGGCGGTGAAGTCGTAGAAGCCGCCGTAGTGTGTTTCTCGGATGAAGGAGATGCGGCGGAGGAGCGCTTCGGTGGCATCGGGTGTGTCGAAGGGCGTGTTGTCTACGTAGCAGAAGCCGAATTTACGGAGGTTTTGAAGAATAGGAAGGATGGGTTCATCTGGGTTGTTGGACACTTTCGGTGGGGAGGTGGAGATGGAGGAATCCCATAAGGAAATGGCTGTTTGAGCTCGACGATTGGATGATTTGCTGTTACTGTGAATGGCCAGTTGCTTGAGAAGTCTATAGCGGTACTCGCTCTTGTGGCCGTCGCTCCAATCGATAATCAGAACATTTTTTAATGGCTTGGAGCGCGCGATTGCGATATCCTGCGGTATAGAAAATGTGTCTAGCAGCCGCTGCTTGGTGGCCTCGTGGACACAACTACTACATTGGCAATTGTCTCTCAGCCAAATGTTGGGAATGCGTTTGTCTCCAACATAGACTGTGTTGTTCCGCACAGTAATTTCTTTTGGTAACAATGCGATCGTCGGCTCGGTCCGCACAGAGTACGGTCCCTTCGTCGCCCATGCGGTGTCGCGCATGCGGGAATGTATTCTGATGAGCTCCCTGCCTAACTCATGAATCTCCCGAGAATTATCCCAGAGCTGGGTTCTAGACTCTGCCGCGATGGTCCTTGGTAGTTTGATTTTCTTCTTCTGGCCCGTAGATTTGCATCGTATTTGGGTCTGATCACTATCAGATTTGCAAAATTGCCGGTTGGAGCAGCTCACTTGAGAGATTGACAAAGGCAATGCTGACACTCGTATAGACCACGAGCTGCGATTGAGCCTGCAAAGAGTAAGCTCAAGTGTCATTACGGGCGTGCATGTATAAGCTGGTCCCGTGACCTACAAGTGATTTCGCGTGTAGCAAAACGCACGGCTCGCGGCTGTCGACATCTTTGTCAGCTCGGTGATACGGCCTCTGGTCGAGAGCAGAAATTGAAATCCACGAGTATTGTTTCAATTATCAGCTGTTCGTCGAGGGTGGAAGGAGCGATGAGGTGAAGCAAAATGTTTGGATTGGTCCGACGAACATCAACGCCTCGGTCCGTCCATCCCAGGGCGTGCTTGACACCCGACAACACGACCAAATCCGCCACAGTGCGTGATCAACAACAACAACCTTATGGTCACTTGTTATTCTCAGAAGAAGCACCACGGCGCTAGAAACACTGCTATGATGACCGAATCTTATGGTGAGGTCCATCACGAGGTAGTCAAACAGTCTGAGCGCAGCCTACTACCAAAATAATGAGCAGTACGCCAGCATTCTGCTGATCTGTGCCTTCTGGAGTTCAAGGTTTGTGGTCTGCTTCAAAGTCGCTATCCTAGAGTGCGTCGTCAATGTCTTAACATCATTGGACCTGTTCTGTAACGCCTGCTCACTTTGCTTAGTAGACTGAATTTACTTAGTAGCACGAATCCAGCACGACCGCACTCGAAATGGCTTTTTGGTTGATTCGGTTTTAGGTATATTGGTATACTTAAGGGAGATGTGAGGAAAGAAAGACTTTCAAAGATAATTTACTGCTGAGTCCTTCTAGTTAACAAGGGAATATACAGGAGAAGGGATAAGGACAAGCACTATGTTGAACGAGTCTCACTCAGTTTCTTCCTTCAAATGAGTGCAGGGAAAGGTAGTAGTATTGAGTGGGTAACACTGTGAAGAAAGAGAGAGGAGAGAAGGAGAATAGAAAAGAAGAAACACTGCAGGATACACTACAGCCATCAAGATAGAAGCAGGTCTGATAATGACGTATCATGTCTATAGAGTAATCTGTATATGAATACCGAATGTCTTGAGGATGTCTGGTATCTACAGACGCTGCTGCAGTCTGCCACGATTAGCGACGCTAGACCGAGGCGAATCCGAGGCCCTCTGGAAGGAGTTTTCAAAGCTGAGTCTGACCGATTTCAATGCTCATTAGGACCATGTCAACTGTTGCTTCGAAGCTAAGTCAACTGCTATCAAGGCTTCTGTCGATACAGGCGCCTCTTTTTCGGACAAGAGAGTATGCTTCGGCATTGCTGTGATGCGTAGAGGAAGCATCGGCTGAACCTGCTCGGTATCAAGACTGCTACATTTCACACCATCTTGACAGCAGCCGAGCGTGACAAGCTTATCATGAGATTCAATGACCCAGAAGATGGTCTGGATGCAAAGAGTCTACCATACAAAGCGAGTTCGTTAGTTGTCAACCGGCGAGCTGACAGTTCGAGGTAGGTTATCGTGATGTCCTTCGCGGAGAACAAAGACTGCGAACCCCGGCTCGTATTCCGACTGAAGTGTAGGAGTCCAATAATCACAGACTGCCAGAGATGCATGTAACCAACATGCTCGTAGGTGTTCCTTTATCGAGAGAGCAAGAAGGGCCAACAAGAACATCTTGGAGCATCTCCTGAGCAGGGGATCAAGACCCAAAAGCACTTTCGGCACACATGCTCAGCGAGTACCACAGAGAGATGCAAGTGGTGTAGATCGATCCAGAGAGGTATCGACGCAGATATTGCGAGACGAGGGAGCGGCGGAGGTCAAGACACGGTAGTGGCAGAGGAAGCTGCCATGACAGATGCTAAGACAGTGGACGCAACGCCCTTCAACGACATTGAGAAGAGTAATTCTCTCGAGGCAAAGATAGAGGTCTGTAATGATCGAGTGCAAGGCATTGATGTATCGAGATGTGGAATGCGTTCTAGCTGCTAGGATAGAGAGAATAAAAAAGGAAGAAGCATCTAAAGCATAATGTTAGTGAAATTCGTGAGATGTGCTAGCAGGTTTCATGAAGTGTACCAAACAGCTATAAATTTGCGTGACAGTCACCAGGCAAGCTCAAGACCTCTTGCACAACGGTACAAGGTGTGCTGTAGCCATTAAATCTAATTGTGGGCATGGTGCATTCGCTCAAGAACACATTGTAGTGCGCAAAAAGAGAGAGAATAGTTAGCGCGAGCCCGACGCTAACGCAGCAAGGCTAGGACTGTAGACGTACCCACTAGCACCTGCGAAGTTCTCATACCTGCCCCCTGACCAACATTCATCTCGGATAGCCCACCCTCCCAAAAAGATTGTCAAAAAAAAACCATGCAAAGCACTGAATTAACGACACCAGAGGGACTCGAACCTGGGGGCGGGCCGGCATTAGTTTTTGAATTGCAACTGGACACGGAGAAGGGCGAAAACTCACCCTCAATCTTTGCCACCGGAAAGCAACGCCTTACCATTAGGCCATGGTGCCAGACTGATTCAATCTGGACAAACGATTTGACATTTCGACAAACTAAGCTAAATATATTAGATGAGTTTTTAGCGCCAAAGAATCGGAACATCGAAACCTCCCCACAACGCGACCAGCAGAACTTTACAACGTGCAGTGCGTTGAATGGTTGCTAGAAGTGCTACCCATAGTGGGTGTTGCAATGATTACCATCAATATGTCAAAGACTTCAGAGGTTGCAGTTAAGAGGCGCATGTGTATGCACTACGAGTACCCTTGCAGCCTCGACAAGAACTTCTCACGTGGAACGTCAGCTCCGGAACGAGGGTATATTTGTCGTTATGTTTGAGGTAAAGGTGTCCTTCAACTTACTTTGATCAGTCATGAGATCGCAGCAAGACTTGATGCAGTTGTCCTAGAACTAGGGGTCATTACTAGGAGCATGTCTACATTCAGCGCGAGTGTGAGCAAGCGCGTCGCATTTGTTACATCTTATCATTACACGCAAAATAATGCAGTATATGAACGTCAAGCAGATTTCAATTCCAGATGAATTACTCTGAGTTGCCCGGCGTTGGTGAACGCGACGGGGTACGGGGGCGCGACGTGCCAAGAACCGGAGCTAAGTGGCACCGGCGGTCATTGCGGAGCTTCACTTTCGTAATCCACAGCTGCCTCCAAACACCTCCACATCGTCGCCCAACAACCATAATCTCCCTACCCCAATCAAGACCGTCGCTCAGCCCGACATTACCTAGATCATACAAAAGGTTGTCGCTACATCGGAACAGATAGCCCGTCTCACTCCGCCACCATGTCAACACTCGAAGATCTCGATGACCTAGAGCGCCACGAGAAGGAAGAGAAGAAGGATGAGGACAAGAAGGACGATGGCAAGGACGGGAAGAAGGCCGATGGCGACGCGGACATGAAGGATGCAGAGCCAGAGGAGGAGCAGCTGGATGAGGAGATCCTCAACTCAAATACACGCGACATCGTGGCCCGGCGGCGGTTACTGGAGAATGACATGCGCATCATGAAGAGCGAATACCAACGTCTCACGCATGAGAAGGCCTCGATGAACGAGAAGATCAAGGATAACCTTGAGAAGATCGAGAACAACAGGTATGGCTCATCCCTTCGCTTGACTACAGTAACATGTAGATGTGGAGTCCAATTACTCACCGAATACTAACATACGATAGGCAACTACCGTACCTCGTTGGCAACGTCGTTGAAATCCTGGATCTAGACGTATCGGCTGAGGCAGCGGAGGAAGGCGCAAACATCGACCTTGATGCCACCCGCGTAGGCAAGTCCGCAGTCATCAAGACATCGACGAGGCAGACCATCTTCTTGCCCCTTATTGGCTTGGTTGATCACGAGAAGCTCAAGCCGGGTGATCTCATCGGTGTGAACAAGGACTCATACCTTGTCCTGGACACATTGCCTGCAGAATACGACAGCAGGGTGAAGGCTATGGAGGTTGATGAGAAACCAACAGAGAAGTACACCGACGTTGGAGGTCTCGACAAGCAGATCGAGGAGCTTGTAGAGGCTGTTGTCTGGCCCATGAAGGAGGCGGAGCGGTTCAAGAAGATTGGCATCAAGGCACCAAAGGGTACGCGAAGTAATTGTCTACCTCACAACTATCACTGACTTGACACAGGCGCTCTCATGTACGGCCCACCTGGTACCGGAAAGACGCTGCTGGCACGAGCCTGCGCTGCACAGACCGACGCCACCTTCCTCAAGCTCGCTGGTCCACAACTCGTACAGATGTTCATAGGAGACGGCGCGAAGCTTGTCCGCGACTGCTTTGCCCTTGCAAAAGAAAAGGCACCCTCAATCATCTTCATTGACGAGCTCGACGCCGTCGGCACGAAGCGATTCGACTCCGAAAAGTCTGGTGACAGGGAAGTGCAGCGAACCATGTTGGAACTGCTCAACCAGCTCGATGGTTTCGCGTCTGACGACCGCGTCAAGGTCCTCGCCGCCACAAATCGTGTCGATGTCTTAGATCCTGCCCTGCTCCGTTCTGGTCGTCTGGACAGGAAGATCGAGTTTCCACTACCCAACGAAGAGGCCCGCGCACAGATCATGCGCATTCACTCAAGGAAAATGACCGTTGACGAGGGCGTCAACTGGCAAGAGTTGGCACGCAGTACCGACGAGTTTGGTGGTGCGCAGTTGAAGGCTGTGTGTGTTGAGGCTGGCATGATCGCTCTGCGAACAGGTCACCAGAAGATCAGTCACGAGCATTACGTTGATGCCATCTCTGAAGTCCAGGCGAAGAAGAAGGATACGGTCAACTTCTACGCATAGGTCATGGGCGTCCTGAGCTGGATAGCCGCTTGCATGTGCGAGGTAGCACGCCGCACTTGTATTAATACTTAGAGCATTTGGGCACGACAGACCATACGAATGACAACGACATATGCAATGATGTCCACCACTGAAAATTGACGCATGGCCAGACGTACCCAATGCCTTTGTATGACATGACACTCTGACTGTGTACAGGTTGTTACTTTGAAGCCTCACACAGGCATACCTCACAAAGAATTAAGCACCAACTGTGACCATTACCGACCTCGCCAGGATCATCATCAGTCAGACAAAGTGACCAGTGTCTCACACAAGGAACGTGTACCGAGCGCTATGCCCATCCGTTCGCCGCAATCCGTGTCCCTGCATTGCCATCAGTTATTTAAGCACGCGTCCAACACACGTCTTCTGATTGGTTCGATACAACCACGACCAGCCGTCTCTCTTCGCCGCTCAACACCACGCATCCCTAGCCCACGCGCAACCACATTCCAAACTGATAGGTCCACATGCTCTTACCATACCACAGGTTCCTGCCGAACCTGGAGAAACTCTCGGTTCTACTTGGTCCCTGCATGCTTCGCGCGTAGCGTTGGTATCGAGGGGTAGTCTAACAACAAAAAGGGAAACCGCGTACATGGCCCCTCGATAAAGATATACGGTTCTGCACACCGTTTTCAGATCTTCGAGAGCCATGTGCTGAAGTTCATTGGCTGATAACACCTCGTAGGATGGCGCAAGACGACGCTTCGTGTATCCGCGTTTTGCTAGGTTCCTACCATGTGTATCTGTGTTGTGACGAAGCGACGCCGGAATGATCGATGGACTTCTCGGAAGCGTTTTCTTATAGCCCCTCCATCATGTGCATTCCTCTGTTTCTTGTTCATTTTGCCCCTCATTCTCGTTGTTCTGTTCAGTCTCTTCATCCATCTCTGAGAACTAAGAGTCGCAAGTATGCTGGCTTTCTCGGACTTTCTGCCTCGTGATCCTTTTCACCAGCTTTCGATTGCATTGTGCATCGTTGGACTGTTTCTCGCGGCGGTGTTTGTATTGGCGTCGCGATTCAATACAAAGGGTCAGTCACCGGGGACTGTGGAAGCATATCTAAGGTTCATCTATGGGTGCTTCTTGAAACCTCATACTGGTGACGGATCGGGAAGCCAACAAGACGCTTTAGTAAGTCTGAGTAGTGGAATTAACTGCCACGGTAGCTCACCTATCAAAGGAGAGCTTCTACAAAGCGCAAGCAGACGTCTACGATGCGACCCGCATGAGGCTTCTACGTGGTCGCGAGGACATGTTAGGACTCGTAGCGGCGCAACTGAAGCACCGCGTCGAGGCTGGTCTGATCTCTCAACGTCCAGTTTGGGTGGATATCGGTGGAGGAACCGGCCACAATGTCGAACAGATGGGCGCATATGTGTCGGTGCCAGACTTCTTCCACGCTGTCTACGTCGTCGATCTTTCCCCGAGTCTCTGCGAAATGGCTCGCAAGCGATTCGCCCGTCTCGGATGGACGAATGTCAGAGTCGTCTGCCAGGATGCTCGCGCCTTCCGTCTCCACGAACACGAGCCGGAAGCATACGAACGCAAGGAGATCATTTCCAAAGGTCAGACTGTCCGTGATTTGGACGAGAATGCCGATGCTGGTGGCGCAGAGCTTGTCACTATGAGCTATGCACTGTCAATGATCCCAGAATTCTACTCCGTGATCGACTCGCTAGACAGTCTCCTGAGCCCTAACGGTGTCATTGGAGTTGTGGACTTCTATGTACAGAACCAAGTCGACTTTATGGGCAGAAACTACATGGGTGGTGCCATCGATCGTCACTGCATGTGGATTTCTAGGGTCTTCTGGCGGACATGGTTTGAAATTGACCGCGTCAACCTTGAGCCTGCACGACGAGTAAGATGAACCCTTACTTTCTTACGGACTCGCTCACAATCATAGGACTACCTGGAGTACCGCTTTGGTACCATCCTTGGTATCAACGCTCGCAATAACTTCTTCGGCACTGGCATCAAGCTTCCTTACTATGTCTGGGTAGGCTGTTCGAAAGACCACGGTGCTTCGACACAAAAGCTTGCCGAGATCGATGCAGCCGCAACCGAATCCCCATACCTTTCGGCGCTTGACCTACAAACAGGTGCTGCACAAAATGATATCGAGCTGCGCTCTAAAGCATACGAATCGGCCATTGTAAATCTTCAGTCGAGCCTACCATTGCCTGCAACATGGTACCAGAATCACCACTGGCGAATTCACTACGACTCGTCCCTACCCAAGCATACTCGATTTAATAACTCGTATATATATGCATTTACCTGGGAGGACGATGTGGCTGATATGCGCATCCTGAAGCCTACTTCGAATGACGTCGTCCTGGCGATTGGCTCCGCTGGCGACAACATTCTAGCTTTCTGTCTAGAAAACTGCCGCCGCGTTCATGCTGTCGACCTCAACCCCTCTCAAAACCATCTACTTGAACTCAAAGTCGCCGCGTTCTCTGCGCTCGGCTACCATGACGTGTGGAAGCTGTTTGGCGAGGGTAAGCATTCCGACTTTCACAACATCCTCATCCAGAGCCTCAGTCCTCATCTTTCGAGCGAAGCATTCCAATTTTGGCTGCACAATGGTCCTTCGGTATTTGCTTCACCTTCATCGAAAGGTCTCTACTACTCTGGTGGTTCTG